GTGTTAGATGGTGTATATCCTTTAAGTTCCCGGCAAAAGTTAAATTACAGTTTAAATTCATCTGGCACCATCTGTGCGTCCTGACGCCCACTCTACGCTGCCTGACACTGAGCATGCACAGTGACCAGTGTCCGGCTGCGCTCTCTCGGGACCCCTCCTGGACGAGTCGGCATATAAAACGAGCGTCTCTCTCCTCGCTGGGACACAGTGTCATCCAGCCCGGCCCCACGCGCCTGTGCCGCGCTTCATGGATGCTTCAGCAGCGGTGCAGCATCCTCAGCCCTGCCCAGCCCAGCGGGACTAACTCTGTGTTAACCGGACTCATCTCACCGCTCTCTCCTCTCCTCTCCTCTCCTGTGAGTGCTCGCTGTCTTTTCCTCACCGCTTTATTGGATGTGATGGTGCAAACGATGTAGTGTCGCAGATGGAGCGTCAGCTTTACGCAGTTGCTTTGCGGAAATACTCACGTTTTAACAAGCTGCAGAATGTGTCGGAGCTGACTTTATTTGAATGTACAAATTTTTTTTGCGCCTCACAAAAGATGCAGCAGAGACAACACACTCATTTATATGCGGCAAAGAGCACTGACGTAATTTAATTAAAGTGCAGGCTAAATATAGACCCAGTGTTCATTGTGGGATTGCATGCTTTCTTTGTATCAGGACAAACTTTATTCGGACAAAAAGATACAGTTGATTATTTAATCTGCGTCATAAAGCATCATCTCATGCAGCACATCAGGGGCCTCAGTGTGCCGGAAACGGGCTTGATTGTTTCCATGGCAATAAGAGGGCATGTCCCTCCCTGGGACAGCTGCCAAGTACCACACCCTTCCAGCTCCAGCCTCCAGAGATGCTGGGTGCTGTTAGACAGAGGGAAATTAGCTTTTCTTCTTGAACTGAAGTGGTTTGTGGTAAAGATCTAATGCAACAGATTTTCTCATGTTTGTATAACAACGGTTTATCTTGTAGTAATTTAACCAGGATACAAATAAGACAGTAAAATATGCTAACATGGCTTTTTCCATTTGTTCTCTTTAGAGATACTGCGAGTGTTGCAAGAGCTGCCATGGCGAACAGAGGGCCCACCTACGGCCTGAGCCGGGAGGTGCAGGAGAAGATCGACCAGAAGTACGACCCAGACCTGGAGCAGAGGTTGGTGGACTGGATTGTGGCTCAGTGTGGAGGAAACATGGAGAAACCACAGACGGGCAAACAGAACTTCCAGAAATGGCTGATGGACGGGACAGTGAGTAGCTGCGGTGCCTGCACTTAAAATAGAAGTTAGCATTGAATTATTAAAGCTGCAACATGATAACAGCCCTGTCGGTTTTCAAGAGACCATGAATTTAAAAAGTAAAAACGCCTCCAGATTTATGTTCCCTGTAGCTTTGGAAAGCTTGAGTAAATGATATTATTCTGATATTTGTTACTGAGACATAATTTTGCTATAAAACCTGCAACAATAGACCATTATTATCACTCCCATTAGAAATGGGGACCAACTGATAAAAAAGAGGACAGTGATTTGTTTTTCACATTGACAGTGAATTAAAAAAACTGTTCTTTGCTTTGCAGACTTAAAATTTATGGGCGCGTGTAATAGTAAACTCATCTGTCAATCCTTTGCACTATCACTAATTAACAACCAATTCCAAAAGGTACCCTGCACAGTGCTGCAGTGCTGTCACTCATGTTAAGAAAAAATCATTGAGACGAGGCAGAGGCGTCGGTTCCTGCACCAACAATTAATTTAACAGCTGCTTTGTATTCCTTCTCTAGAGGCACGACACACTTACTGCTGTTTTTGAATTGTTGATAGAAGTAGAAAATGTCATGGAAAGAGAACGCTGTGATTCATAATCACATTTAAGCATGGCAAACAACTGAGTCTATTCTTTTCCAGACATCCTTCTGTTATCGGCATTGCCACTTTCACTTCATCAAGCCAGTTATCTTACCTCCTTTGTCCCAGATCCTGTGTAGACTCATCAACAGCCTTTATCCAAGGGGTAAGGAACCCATCAAGAAGATTGCAGAGACTCAAATGGCCTTCAAACAGATGGAGAAGATCTCTCAGTTCTTGCAAGCAGCAGAAGCTTACGGAGTGACGACCACCGACATCTTTCAAACTGTGGACCTCTGGGAAGGTAAAGAGGTTTAATAAACCGCGGCTGCGCTCAGTTTTAAATGTGATGATGTGCTTTGTTTTATCTATAACTGGGGGAGGGGGGCATGTTTTGGTTTGTATGAGTATTTGCAGCGGGAAGTATAATTATTTTATTACTCTGGCCACAGGGAAGGACATGGCAGCAGTGCAGAGGACCCTGATGGCTCTGGGGAGCGTGGCTGTCACTAAGGACGATGGTCATTACAGAGGTGATCGAGAATGGTTCCGCAGGTAAAGACAAAGATGAACTAAACATAAGAGTAAATCATATTCTCCACAACAAATGAACATGATCTCTTTTCTGTTTGACACATGCAGGAAAGCGCAGGCATATCGACGAGAGTTCACTGAAGAGCAGCTGCGCCAAGGACAGAGTCTGATTGGCCTGCAGATGGGTAGCAACCGCGGAGCTTCCCAAGCTGGTATGACGGGCTACGGTATGCACCGTCAGATCATGTAGAAAGTTTCCTACCTAACCTGCTCCTCTGCTTCGGAGACCTTGTTTTCTACTAATACCACAAGCATTGTAGCCCCCCCAAAAAATCCAATATCCTCTGTAGCCACGTTGACCTCAACTTCCCTGGAATTGCTGCTTTTCCCCATACAGTGTTCAAACCCACATCCTAAAACAAATGATGTCAAATGCTGTAAATCTCGTCCTTCACGTTGTCTTCCCTTGTGCCATGTGCTGTTCCCTCCCTCGCTTTGTTGACTGTTTCCTGACTTTCTATATCCAAATGGTTAATGTGGAACTCATAGTCATTCAACATCCCTTATAGGTCTTATAGAAAACTGTAGATTTAAATGAAACAAGCCATCAGTGTTATGCATATTTTAAATCAGAATTCTTTGAGCCACTGTTACAGCATTTTGTGAACTATTTATTTATTTATTTGTATGTACATATTCCTTCATTTAAAATGATCATAAATAATCAGACGGTTACTGTGTGATTATTTTTGCCTTAAACCTGTTGAAACTCTCGCCTGATGATGTCTCTGCGATCTTGTCTGAGGACTTGTTGTGGTATATCTTCTGTAACCAAACCAACCTCACATTGTGCCTGGTTTTGGGACGTCAGAGACTGGGTCCTGATATTATTGCCCTCAAATTATAAACGAGTTTCATTCCTTCTGAGCCATGCCCTCGTTATTTGTTAGATTTTTTTCCCATAATGTGTCCACGTTTTGTTTAAATCAATGTGCAGTAGCCAACATGTGTGACAGTGACGTTCCCATTTCTGGTGCCAGGTGAAGACGCTGCTTGAATGTTCACATTTATGTATTGTCATGTTTATATTTTTGAATATATTTATATCTGGAGGCTTGTGAGAACAACTATTGAAGAAATAAAGTATGTGAACAGATACTCACATTTATATGTTGGTGTCTGTGTAACACAAAAGCTGGATAGACAGGGTTGTATTGTGTGCAGTCTATGTTGTGGGTTTTCTTATCTTGGTTTTATGTTCTGGTTCCTCCCCTGTGCCCATCCCTCCTCTCTCTCTCCTCACTGTGCACACTCTAATAAAGTTACAACAGTGTGGCATAATGATGATGGTTCATCTACCAGACAGGCCTGATTCAAGCCTGTCTGCCAGAAAACGTCCGGCTTGCTAAGTGACCTTGAGTGAGATATTAAATCTTCACAGTTTAATAGCTGATCTACATCTGTTTAAGGTCTAAACTACCACACAATCTATCTGGGAATGACTGTGCATCTCTATTCTTTTTTTTTTTTATAAAGCAATCTAAATGCTTAAATCATTAACTCATAGATCCAGCATTGAGATTACCTCTGAGGGAAGAGGGTGAGCACCAGTGTTTGTCTAAGCCACTCCAGTGACGATGAGCTGAGCTTTTATTTGATGTCAGTGATCCAGTTTATGGGGTCAGCTGTTATTGACTGTTGGCATTTCGAAGACCACATATGAGAAAACTGCATGAATTAACATCTCATCTTCTTATTGGCATCCAATTAATAGAGAGATCCAATCATTAATGCTGTTGTTTAAATCCAGCTTTTATTATTCTGAGGTATGGATTCCTAATGCCTCTTTTATTACCACTGCCAAGGAGGTTTTGTTGTCAACCCTGTCAATTTATTATAGGTTTGTTTACTTGTTTGTTTGCCAGATTTTCACAAAATTAGATGAAAGGATGCATTAAGGGTCGGGGAAGAACCCTGGATCAGGGATGCGGATCTAGGAATGATCAGATTAGACATTTTTCAATAGTTTCACCATTTTCCTGCAAAATAATTCAGGGATCTGTATGAAAAAAATGGGCACATTAAGGGAACTGATATCTATGAATGTATTTGGTGCAGCTTGGTTGAATCTAAGGGGACTGTTTGGGTTTGGTAGAGGTATTCACTCTTCTAATGGCCAGTTTAGTGATCATAAGGTTCCTGGTTCAATCCCTGGCTCTTCCAGAAAGTGTCCTTAAGCAAGACCCTGAACCCCTTACTGCTTCTGATGCTGCGTCATCAGCGGGTGAACTTGTGTGTGAGTTAGACATATGCCGTAAAAATGCTTTGAGCGGTCAAGTATCCAGAAAAGTCCTGTATCGCTCTGTTGAAAATAGATTCTTCACTGTATAGGACAGGCATATATGTGACACTGTGACCATCCGCATGTCTGGCCCTCACATGCACTTCGAGTCAGCTTATTATTAGCCTAGTGTGCGAAGGGGCACAGGAGATGCCTAACTGACAGACACAATAAGTAAGCCAGAAATACAGACCAATGAGCAGACTGTGAGAGAACCGGCGTCACTGTTGTCCAAAGTTCTCGTCTGTCTCGTGTATATTCTTTGGATGATTGTCTTTTGTTCCACTCTGCTCATCTCGACTCTGCCTGGTTGAAGAAAATTTGCTGCATGTGATTAGGTCGCATGGTTATGAGTTCAAATACGCACTTGCTTGACCTTTGAGTTTTTTGCATTGAGGGATACTTAGGTTTGTTGAGACAGGCGTATCCAAGACAATGTTGCAGGTGATTTTTCGGGTTGCTCCTTTGCTCCTTCTGTTGGTGGTCTGGTGTGCTGCACTGGAAGAAGCCCAAACTAAAGGTTGCATTTGTGGATACCCTGGAATACCAGGGGACCCCGGGCACAACGGCATACCTGGCAGAGATGGGCGAGATGGATTAAGCGGTGAAAAGGGTGATAAAGGTATGTTTAGAAGACCAAATTTATCCTGTAGAACTTGACTATGTCCACATTCCTCTTGCAATTTCAACTTCACATTTTCTAACAATATTATTATTTATCAACCATGCATGAAAAGGTGAAGTTGGTCTAACTGGTCCAGCAGGCAGTAATGGCCCCAAGGGAGACAAAGGGGAGCTTGGTATGTACCTTGAGAACAAAAAAAAACCACCTCTGAAAAATAAATAGGTCTTTAAACTAACCTGTCATAAAGCAATTATTTATTTCTAACTGCTGTTTGTCTGTTAATCTGGTTTTCTGGGTACATAATATATATATATATGCCTTTTCACAGAATAAAAGGACAGAAGGGTTTATTGTCTGGTTGTCATTTTCAGGTGCCGTCGGCCCAGCAGGGCTCAAAGGAAAAAGGGGAGATAATGGAGAGCGGGGCCCTCCTGGGAAGATGGGGCCCCAAGGAGTCTCCGGACCCATAGGCCTGAAAGGGAATAAAGGAGAGCTTGGGCTGCCTGGACCTAAGGGGCCTAAAGGTGATTTGGGGGCTCCTGGACCAGAGGGTCAAAAGGGGGAAATTGGTCTTCAAGGTGACAGAGGCTTTCAGGGACCACTGGGACCCCCGGGCAGGCCAGGCCCAAAAGGGGAAATTGGTGTTCCAGGCCACAAAGGCAGCATCGGATATCGTGGGGAAAGGGGGTCTCGAGGAGATAAGGGTGATAAGGGCGACAAGGGAGAAGAACTTGTTATCTCTAAAAGTGCCTTCTCAGTGGGACTCACAGCACTAACTAAACTCCCAGCAGCCAATGCACCAATCCGGTTTGACAAGATCATTTACAACCGACAGAATCACTACGATCCACAAACAGGAAGATTCACGTGCTCCGCAGCAGGGGCCTACTATTTCACCTACCACATCACCGTCTTCTCCAGGAACGTGAAGGTGGTTCTCATGAAGAATGGGGTAAAGATCATCCACACCACGGACAACTACCAGAGCAGCGAGGACCAGGCAGCAGGGGGCGCTGTGCTGCACCTGGAGGTGGGAGATAAAGTGTGGCTGCAGGTGGCTGGAGGAGAGTTATTCAACGGACTCTTTGCTGATGAAGACGATGACACTACTTTCTCTGGATTTCTAATCTTTGCATCTTGAGGATTTTGTCATTTCTTGTATATTATTTCAAGTTAGTACATACATATCTACATTTACTGTATGTATATACCTCTATACATATAAATACACACACATATTGCATATATGTGCTGGTGAAGATGACACCTTTTCCTCTGGATTCTTAATCTTTACATCTTGATATTTTACTATGTCTAGTAATTAATTTTGGTATACATGCATATCTGTATACACGTGTGTGTATACATACACATATATACATATATGTGCTGGTGAAGATGCTGACACTAACTTCTCTGGATTTTCTAGTGTGTATACAGGTAAATATGTTTTATATCTGATGACCATGTGCTTTGTTCCATCTATCACTGGGGTAGCTTTTATTGGTCTGTATTTGCAGTGGCAAGAAGTTGTTTCCGCATTCATGAAAGTATAATTAAACACACACACACAAATACTCACACACGTATGAGCTGATTAGGATGATGACATTCTCTGGATTCTTTGCTCCTTGATCATTTTGTTATGTCTAGTACATATGTGTCACATAACATGTAAATACACTACACTGTATACACTCACACACATGTTTAACACATATGCATAGGTGCATGCATATATGACACAATAAGATGGTAAATTTAATTCCCTGCTTCCTCTTCTTGTAATAAAGACTCGCTCAGTCACCAGTGTCTGTGGTATTTGGGGATGGGCACACACACACACACACACACACACACACACACACACACACACACACACACACACNCACACACACACACACACACACACACACACACACACACACACCACAAGCATCCAGACAGCAGCACCGACTGGAAGGCCCGGTCTGTTGCTGTCTGTTTCTTTTTCTTCAATGGAGCGCGTTTCAACAGGGGGCGCGGTTCTGCGGTCACGGACTAATCTCCTGAGCTGTGATTGGCTGTGAGCGGGATGGTCACGCTGCGGTCAACCAGTCACCTCCGGCGTGAACCCCCCGACGCCCCGCCCCCTTGCGAACACAGCAACAAGTGCATTAATGATGCTCGACTGAAGAAAGAAGCTTCTTCTTGTGGAGCTGCCGCTGAACGAGCCTTCCTCCGGACACACGGTTTGAAAAACACCCTCCGCTCTTCCCCCCGTGTTCACTTCAACAGTCTACTGGATCTACCGGTCGGAGGAAGTCGGGGAATTCACACCCGCAGATCTTGCGCAATGTTTTGAAGAAGTTATTTTGCTATCTGTGAGTCCGCGGGCTAGCTTGAGGTGCTAACCCAGTGTGTGAGTAAGAAGTCAACCGGTCTCAACATGGAGACGAGTTAGCGGCGAGCCTGTCGCTGCTTTTTGTTTGTCTGGAGCCGACATGTTTGAGAGCAACGAGTGGTCGGGAGCTCAGAGAAACTTCCCCGTGATGGAGGAACAACCCGAACAGCTGCTGTGCTGATGTGAGGAGAAGAAGAGAAGTCAGGTGGACAACATCAGCGACTATGAGCTGGGTGAGCACAAACTTTCCCCCTTTGATTCACACGTAACAACCAGATCATCTCTATGATTGATATTCTTCCATCACATTACGCTCGCAGTGATATTCCCCTCGCGTTAAAATGGGACCTGAGGGGCTCATTGTGGTGCATTACTCGCCTGGTTGTTATAGTGATGTGGGAGATGCCAGGCTGTGCAGGGAGCAGCTGAAGGAGGAGGTGGAGGGCCCAGCTACTACAAAGAGCTCTACGGCCAAAGAAAGTTAATTAATGCAGAAGTAAATAAGCAGTTTGGCCCCAGAGTTCTTTATCAGCTTAGAAAACTACTCAGAATAATCCTCTGTTCAGGCCACATTGTTTTCAGAGACTGTTTAATACTGACTTAGCTGCATTACTAATAAACGTCTGCAGGCACTGGTACAATTTACTCCAAATTAATGAACCTTTTCATATCTCTCCTCAGATAGATAGACTAATGCCAGAGGCAAAATGTGGTAGAGTTTTCCCACTGGTTTACATAATGGCACCAATCACTGTACACCAATATGATTGTACTCTAGTATTACCAGAGATATACCAGTACCATTTTTCCTTCCCTGATACAGATTCCGATACTTGGACTTTGAGCATACCGAGCACCGATCTGATGCCAGTACATGATAAAAAATCTCACCCTAAATGATGTGTATTTATAGCTACCACCCCTGTATGGAAACTATGATTGCCATCCTTATTGTATGAACTGGCTCAGGTTGAACCCTTTAAACAATAAATGACATAAGAATCCAGTACCACAAGTAATTAAATCTTTAAAGCTAACGATGCATAATTATTCCCTTTGAATAGCTTGAAAATAATGTATTGTATACAGTACACATTTCCATGTTCCTTGTGGGACTTTGTAGCATGAATAATATTGCCAAATTGCTGACATGTTAGTTACCTCTGTGTAACACTGCACTACTGGTCATCATTTCTTCTTTGTCTCAGTACTCTCGGTACTTGTCAGTGGCAGTACAGAGAAACTGCTGTTTTGGAGAAAGAAGAATGTCCAGGAAAAGAAAACTGCAGTTTTATCTGAGTACAGCTAATAAACTGCAAAGACATGATATCGGATCGGTCCCAGTGCCAGATCCTGCATTTTCTGCAATGCTGTTATCAGAACATCTTTATAACTGTCTATTTCCTACTCAGTTGTAATTCTGCCTCATGAGACATAAAATACTTAGACCTTTGTCGCTGTACTTAACTTAATCTGCTTAAGTTTCTTTCCTTTTGAACTTCAGTACACAGGACAAGCAAATAAATGTTCTTTGTTTCTCCATCCATGTTCAATGCTTTGTCTAAGTTAAGTAAAAGCACTATTTGCACCATGGAAATACTTCTTAGGTTGATTTGACCTCTCGAAGCTTTCTGTTTCCATGGTGTGTGAATGATTTTTGATGGAGCTGCCTTTGAATTTTCTTTTCCTGCAATCAGGTTACACTGTTGACTGTTGACAGGTAGACTCTATGTCTGGTTATGTTCCTGCTAAGCCTGGTACACCGTGTGGTGTTACATTTCTGGTTGTCTGTCTCTATGACAGTGCAGATCAGGTGAGTAATTGAGTGACTGTGTGAGAGTGGCGACACACCCTGGTTTGGCTTGAACCCATACTTCCCACGCTCTATAGAAAGGGGCGTGGAAGCTCCCGTGCTCCTTCTGTCTGCCAGATAAAATAAAAAAAGAGAAACTAGGTCATGGCCAAATATGAGACCCGAACCAGGAAAGTGAACCAGAGCCACTGTGCTCACCTGATCCAGGCAGAACATGTTGAAGGACAGGACCTGCTGTGGAAACCAGGGCCGTACAATAATAAAGATAATGAGTTATTAGCAGTTTGTGATTTTAATTTGACCCCAGAAGAGGTGGTGCACTCCTTTTCGACACTGCTGGTGCAATTTCAACCTTTATCACAATCTATTTTGAATATCTCTCTCCCAAGCTGCTCCCTTATAGTCAAGTCCTGGCAGGCTGTTTACAAGCTCTCTGTGTCACTGTCAGTCAGTGCTGAATAGTCTGAATTGTCTTCCCGATTAGGCTATCATGTGTAGATGAAACCAGTCCTGCACACAGACTGGTAAAGCTCTGCTTATCAGATTATTACTGGGAAGGAAGAGGAATTGGGTATATGCACACAAACATACACACACACACACACACACACACACACTGCTCCCTCACTTTTCATCTTTGCTTGGAAAAAAGGCTGTGAGCTTGGCTGACAGGCATCAAGGCTAAGATGATTTTAATATGGATTCAAATATCTTAAACAACTATTGTTAAGTGTTTCTTAGTCTTAACACACGATCACATTAATATTCACCTGAAAGAAAGAAATGCACTGAACCTTTTTCTCTATTACTCATCAGCTTAATTTTCACATAAATCTATTGATTCGCTGATCAGCTTCTGTACTTTACAACGATACGTGCTGTTGTTAGGACTTTTATTCTCCAGGACATATAATCGACTGGCAAAGTGACAGTTTACAGAGGAATGGTGGTGTTGCTGTGGGGTGTTTGTGTGCGTCTCAGAGTTGAGCCCGAGAATAGAAAATTATACTCCCTGTCTGGTGGTCTTTTACTTTAATACTCAGTTCATTTTGCCCTAATGACTTGTATCCCAGCCTCAGGCAGGACATACCTCAGTTCTCTGCAGAGGGGAACTATGGACAGGAGGTTACTTATCACTTTGCATTTATGACTTGACTCCTTATATGTCTTCTAACCAAACAGGAAGGGAGTCAGTGATTTAAAATGCCTCACTCCCCACTCAACTCTGCACATGAACACACACGTACATGAACACACACGTACATGAACACACACGCACATGGACAGGGGCTGAGCACCATTTGAAAGGATGCTCCCAACTATTTGCAAAAGTGTTTTTGGAGTGCATGCTTTTTAGCCCTTGCGTACATGTTTACATATTCTGGTACGTGTCCATCCTCATCTCTGGGAGTCTAATCTAAGGCTGGCTCCAGCTGGCTGCCATGTGTGTGGGGGGGGGGGGCTCCTCCCTGAGCTCTTAATTAACTCTGGACCAGGGCCCCAGTGTGCCGCTCCCATCCACAGCTTAGGTAGAGGAAGCCGACAAGGAGCAGTGATCGTAGTACGCAGTTTGGAAAGGCAGAGGTTATACGGGAAAGTCATCGAAACATCGATCATCGATAAGTGATCTGCACAGGGTGTGATGTTGATATATACGTAAGTAATATTTGTCTGGATGTGACAGATATGGATGCATGGATGTAGTTATGGACTTCTTTACAGTAGCGTGTATTATTTGCATTGTTTAGTTTTGTCATTTGTCATATTTTCCTTCAGAGAAACTAAAGCTTTAACTTAATTTTAAATTTTAAACTTTTTATGTTATAAATGGTTTATACATGTGCATGATTTTGTACTGTATCAAAAGACAGCTCTTTAAATATAAGGCTATGTACTATGCATTCACGTTTTAATTTAGCTATATCATGTATATGAAAGGTTACATTACCACTGATATTGATGCACAATTTATAATAATAGTAATCAAACGATCACCAGTTTCAAAAGGCATTGGTAGAATTCAAGAAGACTAACAGTCTGTACACTGTTCTTTAGGTATAAAGCTTATTGCACAGAAGGTGTTGATGTCTGCAGTCTGTGTTGTGTTCTCGTGACATGGTGACCACCTGTCTCTGCTTGGTTCTGATGCACAGCTCTGCCAAGTATTAGTAGGCCCCAACTGGCCTGTGACATTTGGCGCCAAGTGTGGGGAGAGAAGCGGGAGGAAGGTGTTTTAAAGGATATGGCTTTAGAAATTCTTTCCCTATCTGCCATCTTTCTGCTCTGAAAACAGATGGAATTATTGATCGTGCGCCTCTCCAGCAGCCACTCAACAAAACTCCTCCGTGGCCGAAAGAGTAGAAGGCACAATAAGACAATTCAGCATCGCTTTGAAAGCAACACATTGTTCACGAGGGCTGCTTACTGTCTGTCAGCAGTGGTGCTTGGCAGCGGCGGATCTGTGTTTACATAAGTGTTCAGTGTGATGGAGCGAGCTGGTTGAAGTGACAGCTGATTCGACAGAGAAAACCCATCTGGTGCTGAACATGCCTGGAGACGTGAGGAATG